ATTAGCATTTGCGCTCTTGGGGCTGCGTATAGAGCTTTGGTCGCCCTGATGAACATTGCAGGAAGGCACATGTCCTCCAGGAGGGCAAACAAATAGGGCCATTGTATTCGATCGAAGGCCTTCTCCGCATCCAGGGAGAGGACCAGAGAAGGCGTTCGCTTTTTGTATGCCCACCACACTATGTCCACTGCTCGTCGCGTGTTACCGTATAGTTGCTTGTTAGGGACAAAGCCCACTTGGTCTGCATGTACTAGGGCAGGGAGAATGAGGTTGAGTCTGGTGGCCAAGATCTTTGCATATACTTTAAGATCAAAATTGATAAGGGAGATGGGGCGATAATTTGCCACCTCCGTGGTATCCCTGTCTGGTTTGGGAATCAGGACTATGTCTGCTGTGGAGAGGTCCACATTGGGTGAGTCATTGTCTGTCCATGTCGTGTACATTGCGGCTAGATGGGGGATCAATTGTTCCCTAAAGGTTTTGTAGTAGGAGCCGTCGAACCCATCCGGGCCCGGGGCTTTCCCCCCCTTGAGGGCTGTAATTGCCCGGTCTATTTCGTCGTGTTCTATGGGTGCTCCCAAGGGCGCAGTTTTGTGCTCAGGGAGTGACGGCAGGTGAGCCTTCTTCAAGAAGTCCGTAATACGTTCCATGTGCGTTTTATTCGTCATCGCTAGCGTCGGGGAGTGGTTGTACACTTGGGCATAGAATTTGGTAAATTCTTTGTTTATATCCCTCGGGCTAGTAAGTATGTGCCCCTGTGTGTCTTTGATGGCTATGATGTTAGACTTTGTACGCGTGGGTCTCAGGGCTCGAGCTAGTAGCGTATCCATTTTATTGGATTTTTCGTAAAAGAAGCGTTTGGAGCGGACCATGTCTCTGCTGACATCGTCTAACATGAGCTCTCTGAGTTGTCGCCTAATGTCTGTTAGTTCTCTAGTGATACGTGGTGTGGCTCCCTGTTGATTTCGCGTTTCAGCCCTACGCAAGAGCCTCTGTAGCTCTGCCAGTTTCTCGAGTTTTTTCTTCTTTAAGTGCGTGGCTGTCTTAATGAGCAGTCCTCTAATCACAGGTTTATGGGCCGCCCACAGTGTAGTGGGGGATACGTCTGAGGTGTCATTTTCGTGAAAGTAACGCGTGATTTCTGCTAAAGTTGCGTCTTTTGTCTGGGAGTGTGAGTATGGAGGCGTTAAGTCTCCATCTCCAGGGTGCATGGGGGCCCGGTAGTTTCAGGGTTATGGCTATATCAGCGTGATCGGACCAAGTGATGAGGTTTAAGTCAGAGGTTTTTATCCACGACATGGCTAGCGAATTCACAAGGAACATATCTATTCGGGAATAGGTGGTATGTGCTGCTGAGTAAAACGTGTAGTCACGTACACTGGGGTGCTGTATCCTCCAGGGGTCTAGAAGGCCCGTGTGAGTGAGGAAGGTGTTTAATAGTTTGTCTTGTCCACCCTTGTTCTGAGACCTGGGTAGGTTGGGGCCTCCACCCCTATCTAACGCTGGACATGGCGTGGCGTTGAGATCCCCACCCAATAATAAAATGCCTCTGGGAAGTCCTAGGATAAGTACCTCCAGTTCGGTCCAAAATTCCTTGTCGGGAATATTGGGCGCGTATACGTTGATCAGGTAATAAATCTATTTTTATAACAAATTGTGATTTTATTTATATGAAATACTTTTCAATTACACGATAACGATCTTTGGGATCTGAGAATTGAATCAGGAAAATATCCACTCAGCTCTCCCAAAGGTAGGGAGGCTGGGTGGACATTAATGAAAGCAAAAATGTTAATTTGTGACTTTATGAGAAAATGTGTGTGTATGTCACTGTGTGTATGCCTCTTTCAATGTGTGTCTGCTTAAGGCCCCCCCACGATCATAAGAGGTGATTTTACTCACCTTTTTTTTCCCCCAAGCCGTGACGGTTTTGCTGTGGCTTGTTCCGCCTCTATAGCGGATATCATCAATCTTTCTGATCTCAGATAAGCCAAAGCTTTCTCATAGGAAAGCATTGGGAGGATACTGCACATCATCTCTATGGGTAACATTCAGCACATCCATGCAGACGCTGAACATAGGACTCTTTAGTGGCCATCTGAGTGAATGTTACTAGAGGACTTACTAGGCAGCAATGTAAACACTGTATTTTCTCTGAAAAGGCTACAGGAAAAGGCTATAGGTACCAGAACAACTACATTAATCTGTAGAGGTTCTGGTGACTAGAGTGTCCCATTAAGAATTGCATATTTTGGGGGCGGGGCTGTGACGGACCCGCTGGCACTCCGACCGAGTACCTCCGCCAATCAATGCTCCTAGTGCTTGCCGAGGACGCCAAGCACTCCAACCGACACCATCAGCATTGCAGACCTATCTCATCCCCCAAGCATGAGCCAAGGCTTCAAGAAAGGGTCAAGCAGGTCTGTTTAATGAGCACACAAAAGCCACAGCACTCATTCAGCAAAACAACTCCTCCTCAGAAGAAAACAAAATGACAGTTAAGGTCAGACAGTGTTTGAATATTTGACAGTTATAAGGGTTTAACTGGTGTTCTAGGAGGGGGAAGGGGGGAATAAAACAGGGGTTTTCTTCACAATTTAAATCTGCACACTGCTCCAATATAATTTAAAGGGGCAGACAGAGTACAATAAAATCCAATATGCACAAATAACATTTTTAAAGGGCAAAATCTGCCAGGGGCCATAGTCGCAGGGCAGGAGGCTGGCAATTAGCCCTCTCCAGGTACAAGTGGTAAAGGGCATTCCGTTACACATCTTCCCATTGGGGGGAGACTAACCAGGTACCTGACCTTCTGTCGGTCAGTACCTGAGTTAGTCGAGTAGCCCACCCACAACAAACAGTTAACAGAGTAGCCCACTCACAATACACCATTACTGCACCTGGTGATTCCTGGTGTCCGGCTCTGGCCTGTATGTCCCAGGTTACTGAGGGGAACTAGTGGGCAGAGGCCAGCGGCTTCTGCTGGGTTGGCCGGTGGGTACTCAGGTTCTGAACAAGAGGGCAAGGGACGGCAGAGGCCAACCGTGCTCTGACCGGATGGCAGCTCTTCTGCTGGAAGGGGATCAGTGGAGGCTAACATCTTCTCCATTAAACCCAGTCCCGGGTTAGGGGTTGGCTGTGAAAGGGTGGGGTCGCCTACCTCCTCCTCCAGGTACTCCTGCTGCCGCTGGGGAGTGAGACCGGTTGTCTCCTCTCCCTGAAGCTCACATTGCTGCTGGAGAGAGAGCCCGGTTGCCTTCTCTCCCTGGTGCTCCAACTGCAGTTTGGGTTCTGGGCCGGCTATCCCTATAGGGCCGGTAGAGAGACCACGGTCCCATCTCCACCTGCCATTTGGGGGTTCTCCCAGTGCCAGACTATGAGATCCCCCAGGACTTGGGAATAAGGACCACCTGCCTCATCTATCTGTAGCTCTGGCTGTAACTGGGGTTCTGGGCCGAATGCCCAGCATCCCTGTAGGGCCAGTAGAGAGACCTCGGTCCCATCTCCACCTGCTTGTTTGGGTTCCTCACGGGACCAGTCTATGAGGTCCCCTACTTTGGGTACCTCTGGCTGTCTCTGGGGAGGCTAACCTCCTTTCGTTGGAGGCTTCTTTTCCTCGCTTTAGCCAGCAGGAATTCTTGGTCCTCTTTGCTTCTCTTTCGACGGTTACCTGGTTCCAGATCGCCTGGAAGGTATCCATGGATGCATCAGGGCCATACCAGGCCACTCGCTGCCTCACCTCGGCCAGAAAATCTTAGCAAGAGTCAGAGTATGCCATACTTGCTTGCTCCAAGTCAATGGACACCTCTGCTTCCAGGAGCGCTGCACGAATGCTAGCGTTGCCCTCACTATGATCAACACGTTACCGGTGTCTCTGAGCTGCTTCTCCTCGCACTAGGACGCCATCCCACCGCTACCACCAAATGTGATGGACCCGCTGGCACTCTGACCGAGTACCTCCGCCAATCGATGCTCCATGCCCCAAGCATGAGCCAAGGCTTCAAGAAAGGGTCAAACAGGTCTGTTTAATGAGCACACAAAAGCCACAGCACTCGTGCAGCAAAACAACTCCTCCTCAGAGGAAAACAAAATGACAGTTAAGACAGACAGTGCTTGAATATATGACAGTTAAAAGGTCAGACAGAGTTAGAATATTTGACAGTTATAAGGGTTTAACTGGTGTTCTAGGAGGGGGGAGGGGGAAATAAATAAAACAGGGGTTTACTTCACAATTTAAATCTGCACACTGCTCCTATATAATTTAAAGGGGCAGACAGAGTACAATAAAATCCAATATGCCCAAATAACATTTTTAAAGGGCAAACTCTTCCAGGGGCCATAGTCGCAGGGCAAGAGGCTGGCAATTAGTCCTCTCCAGGCACAAGTGGTGAAGGGCACTTCGTCACAGGGGCTTAGCGCCTAATGCGAACGGACGCAACTGTGGGGAGCTCCGGGCGCCGACCGCTCTCTGCACTAATTAACGGGATACCCCGTGGTCGCCGCAGCACCGGGCGGCACTTACCATAACCAGGAAGGGGTGAGCTACAGGCACATGCCTTTTTTGTACCCGAAATCGGGCGGGAAAGCTTGCCACAAGTCCGGGGCCTATCGGGGTACAAGACCTGCTGAACTGGAAGAGCTCTACAGCCCCCCCACTGGCTACCCGACAACCCTCCACAACACACACACACCATGGGGCGCAGAACCCAGAAAATTCAGGCTGGCCCCAGCAAAGACCCCCAAGATATGGGGGAGATGTTACAACGCCCAATGGCATCCAAGATGGCGGCCCTGCCGGACACTGGCGTGCAAAGAGCGAAACCTCCAACCAACATACTCACAACCGGTGGCGCTGATACTCCCACGACTTTCTTGGAGGCACTGACAGAACAAGACCCACAAGCCCCCGCCACTAAACAAGACACCGCCAGCCTCTTATGGGAACTGCGACAAATGTCAGCGGCCGATATAGACATGGTCCGCACCGATGTGAAGGCGGTGGAAGCTCGCACGCAAGCCACAGAGAACACAGTTCTGGAGCTCCAATGAGAGGTATGAGAAATAAGGGACAAAATGCACAACCTACGCCACTCACATACCTCCCTGACACTGCGGGTCTACATCTCAAAGGACCGCAACAGGTTCCCCAACATCAAAGTCC